TAGCCGGCTTCTGGTCCTTGCTAAATACAGTTTGAATCCCTGCGCTGTTTAGGCCGGGTGTGCGTCCTGCATCATGGTTTGGAAGCAGGAGAAATGTGTATGGGTAAGGCTAGGTCCGCTAGTTCTGTAACTAGCCGGCCTCTGGTCCTTGCTAAACACAGTCACACAAAAACGTCTTCTCTCACCGTTCCACGTTCGGTGGTCCGTTCCTCCCCTTCGTGGCCGGCTAACGCACACACACTCTTCTCTTCACCCCGCTGGTGAACGGCGGACATAAGAGAAGACAGACAGCATGAGCCACATCACGAGCAGGGGCGTGTCACCCCCGCCTCGTTTCAGCATGAATCCACCAATCACAGCGGCGCGATGAGCGCTGTGTTTGGCTCCRCTGAAACCCGCCTTAACTCATGCTCACGTACGGCCCCGGAGGCAACCCCTCCYGGGCCATGTTCAAACAGCGGCACGCAGGGTTCCCCGGAGCTCCTGCACAGCCTTTTCGAGCAAAGCCTCCCATGGGTCACACGAGAGAGCGTGACGGCGGCGAAGGCTCTGAGTGGATCGGTTGCTACGACAACCGTTCTACAACCGGAGCATGTGCGAGCTCTCTCAGAGCGCAACTCCGTCTGGGAACACACCTGTCCTATGGACAAGTGGATGAAAAGCTTGATAAAAACGGGTTACAGGCTGCAGTTTGCAACCAAGCCTCCCCGGTTCAGCGGGATACTAGAGACCCGTTTGTCGTCTCCTCAGCAGGATCTCGCTCTTCAAGCAGAGCTTCAGGAACTCCTAAACAAGGAAGTCATTTCTAGAGTTCCAAGTGGGAAGGAATACGAGGGTTTTTATTCCCGGTATTTCCTTATCCCCCCAAAAACGGGTGCAATGAAACCGATCCTGGATCTCTCGTTTTTCAACAAATTCATGCTGAAAAGTTTTTTTCACATGTTGACAACTAAACAAATGCTCACWTGTGTTCAGGAAGGYGATTGGTTCATGCCAATCGACCTGAAGGACGCTTATTTTCATGTCCCGGTCATCTCAGGGCACAGAAAATACCTGCATTTCTCTTTTCAGCAGACTCAGTACCAGTACAACCGTCTTCCTTTCGGTTACGCACTGRTACCATGCACCTTCTCCAAGTGCGTAGAGACAGCACTGCAGCCTCTGCGCTCAGCRGGAATGAGAATCCTGTTTTATCTGGACGACTTGCTCCTGCTGGCCCCATCCAGACAGGACGCAGCGTCACAGACGGAGAGACTGTCAGCACACCTAAGGATGTTGGGTTTTTCCATAAACTGGGAAAAGAGTTCTCTCATTCCGGTCCAACTCATTACGTATTTGGGTGTGGATCTGAACTCAGTCACAGTGACAGTTCATCTGTCCCAACCCAGAAAAGAGACTCTGCTGTCGTTGTTAGCGCATGTCAGACCCCGCAGGTCAGTGAAAGCTCTAACCATCATGCGTCTCTTGGGCATGATGACAGCAGCCCACGCGGTGGTTCCGCTCGGGCTGCTACACACGAGACGCTTACAGCGGTGATTCTCCTGGCTAAAGATCAATCCGATATGCCACAAGCGCAGGATCGTATCAATCCCCTCCTTAGAGGAGGCGGATCTGAGCCACTGGAGGAAGCCGCACACACAGTCAGCAGGAGTCCCTCTGAGCAGAGCGACACATCACGTGCCGGTCTTCACAGACGCGTCACTGTCAGGGTGGGGTGGGGACATGCTTGTCCCAGACTRTCGGAGACCGCTTGTCTGCCCATCCTGTCCCCCACATAAATGTTCTGGAACTTCTGACTGTGTGGAAAGTGCTTGTGCATTTCACTCATCTGGTCTGGGACCAGCATGTTCTGGTCCACACGGACAACAAAGTGGCAGCAGCTTACATAAATCGCCAGGGAGGGGTACGCTCCCGGCAGCTTCTGGACACAGCCAGAGAGCTTCTCCTCTGGGCACACACCCACTTGCGCTCAATCTGAGCTGTCTACATTCCGGGTGTGCTGAACAAGGGAGCAGACATCATGTCCAGAGGGAGTCCCCAGGATGGGGACTGGGCCCTGCACATGACCATAATTACGCAAATCTGGGACAGATTCGGCAATGCAGAAGTGGACCTATTCGCCAGCAGAGAAAATGCACAGTGCGACCTCTGGTTCTCCCTGAGCTCACGGGACGACCCTCCTCTGGGAGTGGACGCCTTTGCGCACCGTCCCTGGCCGGACAAGCTGCTTTATGCCTTCCCTCCTGTCCCTCTGATCCCGCGACTACTGGACCGGATCAGAGCAGACCGCCGGCGGGTTATTCTGATCGCACGGGAGTGCACTAGTTCCCGGTCCTCCGGTCATTACTGTCAGGCCTCCCGCTCCAGCTACCCTGGCAGGAGGACGCTCTCCTGCAGGTRGGAGGAGCGATCAGGAGCTTCCCAAAACTGGGCCAGCCCCTTTGGGCCTGGCCGCTGAACGGGAAAGCTTAGTAAACCTGGGCTTATCTGCTGATGTGGTGCGCACCATCCAGAATGCGTGCGCGGCATCCACAGTCTCATCCTACACAGCCAAGTGGTCATCCTTTCAGCGCTGGTGTGTAGAAAAAACTGCAGACCCAGTCTCCTGCTCCTTGTCCTGCATTCTGTCTTTCCTACAGATGTTAATGGACAGAGGTTTAGCCTTCAGCACCGTTAAGACATATGCTGCGGTGATTTCCTCCTGTCACGAAGATTTTTTGGTGACAGGACGGTTTTTAATCATCCGTTGGTAAAACGGTTCTTAAAAGGAGTGTGCAGGCACAGACCTGTCACATGCACACTCGTACCACAGTGGGATTTAACACTGGTGCCACGTGCTTTGGCTAAAGCTCCTTTTGAACCTTTGGATCAAGTCTCACTAAAGTTTTTGTCTCAAAAAACATCGCTGCTGTTAGCGCTAACATCAGCAAAGAGAGTCAGCGAGCTGTCTGCTCTGTCAGTGTCTCCCTCCTGTCTCAGAATACGGGAGGATGGCGGCTCTGCGATTTTGCGTCCCAACCCGGCTTTTATGCCTAAGAGCATCACAAGCTCTTACAGCTCCAGAGTTATTACTCTGAGCGGCTTTTGTCCTCCTCCTCATAATTCAGAGGAGGAAGCAGTTTCTCACCTGCTATGTCCCGTGCGCGCACTCTCGTGTTATATGTCACGCACGGCACAGATCAGGTACTCTCAGTTTTTGTTTGTTCACTACAGAGAGCAGTCTGCAGGACAACCTTTGTCTTCTCAGAGGTTGTCACATTGGATYTGTGAGGCTATTTCGCAGGCTTACATCTCATCAGGTCTGCAGCCTCCAGCTGTACTGTCAGCTCATTCCACTAGGGGGATCTCTTCCTCCACTGCTCTGTACAGTGGAGTATCAGTTCAGGATATTTGCTCTGCAGCCTCCTGGTCATCCCCTTGCCCCTTCATCTGTTTTTATCTACGGGATGTTTCGGGCCCCTCTCTGACTCACTCTGTTCTCAGGACCTTGTCAGAGTAATATATTTTGTCTTAAATTATTGGACAAATAATGACCTTTGTGCTTGAAGTGATACTGCACATGCAGTGTGCTGTCTCTTCTTCACATCATCTGGATCATGTGATGGGCACAGGGGCTCATGCAAATCTGTTCACTATGTGAATCAGCTTTTGCTGCTACCTTTTTTACTTATGCAACATCACAAGGGGTGTTTTGGGCGGAAGCTTCACGAGTATGTCAAGCCGGTGAGGCGCAGACTACATCAGGCTCCGCCTCTAATACCCATCTGCGATAGCCTTAGAGGGCGGAGCTTACACGAAATAGAACGTTGGTTACGTATTGTAACCCCAGATTCTATGAGTAGCCCTCTAGGGCGCAGCCCTCTAAAGATCGGGGCCTCACTGGCTTCCGTAGCTGAAGAAAAAGTAAGCTATTGGGAGCTGAACTCAGGTCCGTCCTCCCCTTTTATACGGACCGAGGTGRGGCCCACAGTATGTGGGCGTAGACTATTGGTTCTTCAGAATGCGCGAGCGCGTGTGGGGGTACCCATCTGCGATAGCCTTAGAGGGCTGCGCTTACACTCATAGAATCTGGGGTTACAATACGCAACCAACGTTACTCATGCTACGTCATCAACTGGTGTCACGGATATGCCGCTGCTGACACAGAGTGGCCAAGTTTTGTAATCGCTGAACTCACTTAAAAACCAGGTTGCTTATAATTACAGTTTTGTTTGAACAAATGCAACTATGTGAATGTTAAAACATATA